CACTTCAGCATGAAAACCAAGCTGTGAGTCTTCAGCTAGTTAAGATGAATTGCTGTTATCACAGGGACTCACAATAAAAGACAGTTTAGGTTATAATGCAGGTCTTGATAAATACTGAGCAGTAGTTGAAATAAATGGGTATCTGGGATGTTTTATTAAAGAAAAATTGTGAGCAAGCTTTAAGGTAAAACCAGGGTATCCAATTGGAAATAGTAAAGTCATGGCAGCAGACCAAATCCTATTTTCTAGCTGAGGTGCAATCTGTCTCCTGTCCTCATGCTGCATGTGCTTGCTTCCATGTTTGTTTTGAAGTACAGCTCAAGAAACTTTAGCTCACAGAAGTTGCTTTTGTGAGGTGCAGAAAGGCAATGATTCCAGGCTGTTGCACTCATGAAAAGTTCTCTTTGCTGTAGCCAGGGAGGTGAAGCAGGAGCTGAGTCCTGTGAACTGAAGTATTTTGAGGGTTTTTTATAATGTATATAAGCACATAATCTCCTGTAAATATATCTGCTTTGGAATGAGTCAAGGGTTCAGCTTGAGCATAAAATAAGGAACATTTGTCATTTGATTATGAGGTATTTGTTGAGTACTAGAAATACGGAATTTGAAGGAAGTGTTTAAAGAAGGTGTTAAAGTGTAACTTGCATGCAGCTAAGCGGGCTCAGCTGTTGAAGTTTATCCCCCTGGCTGTAACTAAGACTTCCAGACTGGCTGTTTGAAGGTGTTCTCCCTTGGGATTTTAGGTAGCTCCATTTTTCTGTAAGTTTGCTCTTCTGTTTCAGAAGTTCTTGAGCTTTGTGTGTTTTTATGTGAAACTTAAAGATGTAGCCCTTTTTTGTCAATTAAATATCAGCACTCTTTTTCCTGCAGGGAATAAACCCCTTAAATCCAAAACTGCACCAACATAATCCCATTTTGCCCTGTTGTATGTTCTGTCCTTTTAGACTCCACAGATTGTGCGTTTATGTTCTGCTGAAAATCCAAAGGTTTGAACTTTGTGGTGAAACTGGGCATTGTGAAAGTACAGAATTGAAGTTAAAGGGGATAAAAGTGCTTCTGTGTTTAGGGTTTTGATCATACCAGTGTAGTAAATTTTGGACTGTGCATAAAACAAAAAGCTTTGGACTATTTTCAGGTAAAAACAGATCTGTGAGTCTTTTGGGCAGAGTAGTTGATTGTGACTTAATTATTAATTGAAGTATATTTCTGCAATTTTAATGAAAAATGAGATTTTTATTTGATTTTTTTACATTTTGTATTGGAACACAATGACTTGAATGGGGAAAGCTGCTAAATTCTTTCCCTTAATTTTCATGGTCAGAATTTAAACCCCATTTCTAGGAAATTTTGGTTCACAAATAGAATACAATAGAGAATGGTTGCAGATGTGTGTTGAGAGCAGGGCAGTAGAGCCCAGGGAAAATGTGCTTGCTGCAGAGAATAGAGATGTTGCATAATAGCAGTGTTGTATAACACAGGGCAGGTTTTTTGCCTTGAGTTTGTTGATTTGCTGTATTATGAACCTCCAGCACCTGTAGATAATTAAGGAGTCTCTCAAATTGTAAGAATGGTTTTGGTTTTAAGTTTTAACTTCCTGTGCTCACATCTGCATGCCTTGTAGAAAATCTTTTGAGATATGCATATAAAAATGCACAAAAATGCATGCTGCAGTGCCTTTATGTAATTCAAAAGTGAGATTAAGGTTTTGAAATATTCAGAGGTCAAGAACCTTACACAGTTTTTTTTACTCTTACAGGTCTGCTTTTGACTAAAAAGTTGGGCAACTTTGTACTTCATTATTGAATCTGTTTTTTTAGCTAATTTTATAATCCTACTTAATACACCAGTTCTCTCTCATAATCAGTGGGAAAGATACCATTATATTCTAATGAAACAGCTTAATCTGTCTCAAATCTGTTCTAAAATAAAAATAATACAACCTACATAAAATAAGCAAAGTATTCAAAATTACTTGGGATTTTTGATTTTTTTGTCTCACAAAGATGTAGAATTTTCAGACATTGGGCAGTCTTGTTTTGTGAATCTGATTAAATGTTTTTCCAATGCAGTAGGAAATGGAAACACAAAGGAATTTGAGGAATTGGTCAGATTAATCTGTTTTCACTACATCTGCAATTTGGCATAGTGGGGATTTTTTTTTTTTTCATATTTTCATCAGTGCTTTCTGAGTGGATTTACCTTATGTGCAGTGAAGGAAATGTAAGATTAATCTTTTTTTTAGAAAAATGATGGCATCTGAATGGAGCAGAAACCAAATCTCATCTGTTGTGAGAGATTAATTCATTGACAGACATGCAAATTAGTTTTGGCAGATTTCAAGTGTATGTTCAGGAAAATGGTAGAATGGCTATTGCTAGTGCTGGTTTTACAGTGGCTTTGGTAATGAGATTTTCTGATCCTTTTGCAGGTTTTAAGCATACCTGCAGCTCTCTTGCTCCATTCCCAACAGTGAGTGAAGCAAGGGAGATACAGAAACCCCAACTGAAAACTAATCTTTTTCTCAGGTTCATTTTCTATTTAAAAGAGAAATTATTTTTGGTCTATCTCATTTAGTTTGAAATACTTGGAAGATGGTTTGCTTAAATGATTTGCAGCAATGAAGAATCCTTTTTTTTTTCCCTGTAACCCTCTGCCTGGGAATTTTATGATTTCAAGAACTTGTCTGTCACTCTTCTCAGTCTTTAACCAGGATAGCTGACTCTGTTTCTGTGTAACAGAAATGTTATGTGTGTACATGCATGTGTATTTCCTTTTTAATTTTCTAAAACACTGTTGCTGAAGGTTAAGATGGCAAAAAATTGAACATTTATGTCTGGAATATATCTTTTCACATAATTCTTTTGCACTGGGAAAGAGGCAGGATTCCCAGGAAAGGAAAGAGGCTGCATAAGACAGAGAAAGAGTTTTCCTCAGGAAGGGGAAGCCAGGGAAGGATCCACTGCTGGTCTCCAGAGCAGAGATGCATATTCTCCCCAAGGCCAAAAGAAAGGCAGATCTTTTAGAATGTGGATAGTAAGTGTTGATACTTTGTAAAAGAGGGAAATGAGGAAAATTAAATTGTATTTGATATGATCGTTTTTCAGAACACATGTGTTTATTCAGATGCACTTAGCAATTTCTTAATATACAAATTTAAAAATGCAGAGAGTTGTTTTCTCAGAGATGAATATTGACAGTAGGACTTTTTAATCTTTAAAATGAAGTTAATTACCTATACATTGTAGATGTGATTAGAAAAGCACTTTTAAATAAAGATGTATTGAACAATGAACTTGGTGAGGTGCCTTTGCATTGTGGTGTTCTTACCTCATTCTTAGCCCTCAGGAAGCTGAGATTGGTTCTTCTCCAGTCCTGATCTTCAGAGTGTCCCAAACCATGTTTTGAACTCCTGTGATCTGCTGCAGTGAAAGTAACTACTGTCAGTTCTCATTGTTCTGTGTCACTGTAAAAGTGCTCGTTTTAGAGTCTGTGTGTGCTTTATAGTAGAACTAATACATGTTTAAAGAAGCATCATATGGATACACTCAGGACATTTTTAACACTCGTTTTCCTTTGCTGCTTTAGCCATTTCAGGCCATGTCTTTTACTCTTCAGTGTGTTGTTTTTAGTGAGCAGCATAGGGTTTGCACAGTAACTGCTGCTTGCACTCTGCAGCATAACCTTCTTTGCTACCATTTGGAAACACACTTTTGTTTTGACATAGTCAGTTTATAACTCACTGTATTCCACCCTAGTTTCTTTACCTTCAATTAAAAATACCTATTAAATAGCAAGGATGTTTTAGTTACCAGTTAACTGCATTTCATTAATGATGAGCTTTATTTTTTACACGACCCATATCTAATATGTCAAGATCACACATAAATTAGGGTTTTTTTTTCTTATAGTATTGAACTACCTGAAGTAGTGATGCATTTAATATAAGCCAGGACTCTCTTTCTCCAAGCTTTACCAGTTTGGTGGTTTTGGTTTGGTTTGAGTAGCCTAATTTGTTTTATTTTCATTTAGTGAAGTTGTGTGTGAAATGCTTTGGTTGCATGATTGATGTCGCAATCTGTCAATTTTCAAAACTTAATGCAAGGTTAATTTTTATGTAAAAGGAACAACCATATCAAAATAAGATGAAAAAGTAATAACACTATGACATTAAATACCAGCATTACCTTTGTAGCCTTATTTGGGTATGTTAGTTCAGTGGGAACCATTTTCTATAATTGACTAATACTGTATGTGACTTTTTGCTCATTTTAAAAAGCAAAGAAACTGCCCAAATCCATCTGCCTTTACTCCATGATGCTCTGGGTGTGAGATTTTTGAGAGTTTTTTTTCATTTTTAATTCTATTCTCCAGTAATATCCCTCTGATTGCTTGATGGCATTAATAGACTGGCATCCTTACACCACTACGGGGTGGAACAAAATGCTTGCTCTGTAAACTCTGTGTCCCCAAATAAATTTATGTCTCAAAATGTGTGAGTCTTTAAAAGGGTTGTTCATGGGGACAGGAAAACTGGAATACAAAAATGAACTTAGTTCACGTTACAGTAAGGGTATAATGAACTGGAAGAAAAAGCAATTGATTGTTAACATTACTGTCCAGAAACAATAAAATGTGAGGTGACTTATACCAGATGTTGGAAACAAATCTTGCTGTTGCTTCTAATTGTGTGAATTAAGAAAAATATGGTTTCTTCCATTTAAACTCCTGTTGATGGACTGTAAAATAAAGAGAAAGTTTGATACTTTGCTTAGAATAGGAAGTCACAGGATTGCACAGTGTCCTCTAATTTGTTTGCATGTTTCTGCTCACACTGCCAATACAAAAGGAGCTTTAGCTAATAGACATGCTGAATTCTGACGTTGTAGTTCATAAAAAAGATCTTAAGGAGAGCCTGCTGAGGCTTTGATTTGTCACAACAAAAGACCAAGTAGGATACTGATAACCATTAAATGGGTATATTTTT